GAAACTCCTTCCCCTACCTGGCAGCAGACAAAGGATACCAAAGAGCGGAGCCAAGAGGATTTGGGGCCATTAAAATAATAGCATTCCGAGAGGATGGGGACAAAGCCAGGTACTGTTCACGTCTCTTTGGCTCCAAACAGCTGAGACAGCACCTGAGCTGGCACAAACATGCCACCTCCAAAGGGTGCTGCAGGAGTTAGACACCTGTTTTGGGGGCATCTCTCCCCAGTTCCATTTGCTGCCAAAGGAAAGATCCAGGTTCCCCTTGTACTGTGAAAAAGCATCCGTTTGCAGACCTGGGAAGCACTTCCCAAAACACCGGGGCATAGAGTGTGCAACTTTTTTATCAGGAACCTGAGCCCAACCCCAGCAAAATCACAAAAGCGTCCAGGAAACTTTGCATCAGGGATGAAACAGAAGCCAGTGTTTTGCTCCTAGTGCTTCACAAAGACCTAATTCATCTCTTTCCCCACCTCCCCCCCACCACTGCCAGAAAGCTATCGGGGGTTTCAATGCATATTCATTACTCGTTATCAATATGTATCCAGGTAAGTCAAGGTCGGGGTGACTTTCGAAAGGCTCAGTCAGGATATTGAGAAGTAGCTTGTCACTTGTGCCTCCTATCTGCTCAGAAAGCGGGCGTTGGTGCGCTCTCGCGGGTCACCGGGGCGGGTGGAAGGAAGAAAAGAAAAAAAAAAAGAGGGAAGGAAATTTGCTTCTATAAAAGCTTCGATAAAACAGCCACCTTCAGGCATTTTTACTGTTTCCTTGTAAGAAGCGTTCCCACGCGCCTGCCGCAAGCCCACGCCACTCGTTCGACGTTAGCCTTACGTTCCCCGTGTCCAGCCTCATCCCACCACAGCCCCCCCGTCACCCTCGCGGCCGCACTGAGGAGACGTTTCCGCACCGCGCATCGCGTGCGCCTGCGGGACCGGTATCACCCCGCCGACCTGCCAGCACGGGTTTGGCACGCACATCCCCGCCGAATTTCCATTCGCCCTCGTCCGCCAAGCCGGAGCGATGAGGGAGCGAAAGGCAGGAGCAGCCCCCTCCCCTCGCCTGGCTCTGCCCATCCAGCCGCCTGCGACGACTTGCCTTTCCCAGCCCCTACGTGAGGGACGTGCAGCTTGACAGCAATTTAATGGATCGCCGTCAAAAGGCCAGATGAAGGCATCGCTTCGCGTCCACTGCAGCCTCCCGTTGACGAAGAAGCGGGCGATCGGGCTAATTATTTCACATGCAGGGAGCAGCCAGGCGGAGCTTTCCAAGGATGCTCCCAGGGATGCTCCTACTCTCTCCTCCTCCTCCCCAGGGACCGCATCGGGTCTCCCATGTCTGGGACACCTCCATTCCCACCCGGCTTTGTGGCTTTGCTCTTTGTTGCTGCCGAGGAATTCATAGCACCTCGAGTTTAAAATAGCCACCTGGGGTTTAAAAAAAACCTCCAGCTAAAAAAGCCCAATAACATTCTTCCCACAGAGCGCAGTGAACGGTGCCCGGCATGGCTTGTTCCCACCCCGAGAGAAAATAATTAGAAGCCCCATTACGGTATTAATGAGCCCCTTGGTGCCTTAATATGTTAAAATATGTTAGTTTTCTGCTCTGCCAAGGAGAGAATTCTCTCCTCTGAGACCAGGTGAATAAAGCGACAAAAAACACAGGGAGGCTCTGCGTACACGAGCAACATACCTGTTCGATCCTAACTTATTGTCTCTTAGGAAAAACAATAGTGATAACAATATTTTATTACTGAGTTCAGCACTCTGAAATACAGGGTTTACTGGCAGGGGTGGGGGGGGGGGGGAGGAAAAAAAAAAAAAAAAAAAACCAAAACCTCAAACCCAACCGATACATCTGCAAAGCATTAAAGCCAGGAGATATTTTACCCGGCTAAAAAGCAAAGCCCCGTGGCAACCCAGCTGTTTCGCCTGTTGCTGAAAGCCATTTCCTCAGCAGCTTCTGCTGCAAGAGCCGCCCTTGCCAAGCACAGGCTGCGTGTGCGAACATCCGCTGCGGGGCTCCGCTGCCCCGCACGCCCGCCCCACGGCCCCGGGGCACCGTCCGGCAACTTCAACGCCAT